ATCTCATGAGAAGAGGTCTAGAGAGTGCGGCTCCATATTTGAACAATTCTGTAACTTCAAGACTTGATGGTTTCAGTTTGGCTTCGCTAGCATTCTGTTAGCTTTCCCCTCGCTCACAACATGGCTGTAACTATTCCAAATGGCACATCCTCACTCATCAATCCCCAGAGGCACTTTTAGAAAGGGACGTTATGTATGCGCTGCTCTTCTAATGGGTGAGGACAATCTTTTGTAGGGTCTCCTGATATCCCATTGGCCAAAATTCTCTTACACATGTATGCCTAAGCCAGCCCCTATCAACATAAACAGGCATATGTACCATGCTTTGTCATACCAGTCATTCAGCTCCATGAGCTGGGCAGGGTCTACCCGAGAGTATAAAATAGAGTCTTATGAACACTGAAGATGACAGAAAATGGCAAGAAGCCAGACAATTCAAACTGTCTGTCACAGTATGTATTACTCTCCTGTTACAGATAAGGAAATTCAGACTAAAGCAACTTGTCTGGCAGAATCTCCTCCCCAGTTCCCTCTGACCTGAAGATGGGCTACACTTAGTGACTCACGTCCAAAGAATGGAGTAGGGAAAAATAGTAACTTTACAGTGGAGAAACCGCAATCACTGCCTTAGTCCATGGTGTCATGTGGATATTGCATACCAGACAGTATGGTCACATACTTTTTTTTATCACTAAAAAGGGCGCTTCAGCTCTGTGATTTTCTTTCCAAAAACGCATAATACTGATCTAATCAGGAGAAAAACAACAGATAAACCTAAACCCAAGTTGGAGGACACTGCGCGGGACACTCAGCCAGTATTCCTCAAAACCATCAAGGTCATGAGAAACAAAGACCGGGGAACAGTCAAAAACCAGAGGATACAAAGGAGATGGGATAACCAAATGTGGAATCTAGGCTGGGTCCTGGGACAGAAAAAGAACATTCGTGGGGAAAATGGTAAAATCACAAGAAAGTGTGGAATTTAGTTAACAGTGCATTAACTAAATGCACCAATGTTAATCTCTAAATTTTGACAAATGTACAGTAGAAACTTAAGACGTTAACATATGGGGAAAGTGGAGACAGAAACTCCTAGTACTATCTTTACAACATTTGTGTAAATCTAAAATTATTCCTAGGTTAAAAACATGTTTTTTAAAAAATGTGTGCTAGGTAATTGTTGAGACTGGATGTTAGCTCTATGGTGTTCATTGTATTATTTACTCTGCTTTTATACATGTTTGTAATTTAAAATTATTTTAATATTAAAAATGCATACATTAATGAAATATATTTTGAGTTTCTGCCTTCAAGATATTAGCAGTCAAGAGTGACAGAAATTCTCGTGCTGACTACTGAAACAATAATGAATAAGGCAGATTTTGTTGACTTGTTGGTACCTAAACAAACATATAGTATTTCATGTTACATTCTACAATCTTGCTACTCAAAATTTGGTGCAAGAAACTACACTGCTATCATCTGAGACCTTGTTAGAAATGCAAAGTGTAAGGCTCACCTATAGACCTAATGAATTGGAATCTTCATTTTAACAAGGTCCCCAGTGAACAAAACACACATTAAAGTTTAAGAAGCACTGTTTGTTACCATGTGATTTTCTGCATTTCTGAGCAGATCACATCTAGAAAGTGAATTCCAATAAAAATCAATGAAGATGCTCATATGATGATTTTACTTCTGATTAGAGGACTATAAATTACTTCCATTTTCTCATATCCTAATAAAACACATGACATTTGGTCAGAATAATAATATTGACTTAAAGTAACATGTAATATTATACCCTCTTGCTAAGGCCAGTAAGATTGTAGGGAAGAATAAAAGCAGCAAATATTCAGTCCAGCCAACTCCTTAATATGGCCTGTATCAAAGAGAAGAGTCTGATGGTTAAAAGGATGGGCAAGATTCTTACATTAAATTTTAAGACTGTTCCCTGATCATGTGGGCACTGAAACCTCTCCGATCCAGGCACTGATTTTTCCCTTAAAAAATTCCCACCCAGGCAACATGCAGAGAAAAGTGATCTATCTCACCATTGTTTTCCCTTTCGTTTCATACCATGCCACCTTTGAAAATATGCAAATTTGGGGAGCACCACTTTGGTAGAGACATCTCTGGTAATTGCTAGCTGGGCAAGTTAATAGTAAACAGAATAAAGAAGAGATCATTAAAATAGAGAATTGATCATAAAATAGAGAATTGGCCGTAATTGTTCTTCTGCCTCAGAGAAGCGTACACTACAAGCTGAACATCTGCTCTCCTTGAGTTACTCTTTGGAATGGAGAGTGAAGAACCCGAAATGACAATGGAAAAGAAAGAAAGAGGCTGAAGGATTCACATGTGGAATGTACCCTACAGGAAGCTTTCAAATAGACACAAAGGATGTGAAAGAGACTGAAATTTTAGGGAACTCTCTGTTTTTCATGATGTACCAACTAGGGCTTATGGATCTATGTGACCATGCAGATGGGAAAAGGCAAACAGCTGAGACAATCTACACCAAAGACAGAGTCCAGTGAATTAATGCATCAGTGGAAGGTGGGGTCGTGGGGGCAGTGCATATAGACAATCGTTTCAGTTTGGAATTATAAGTAAGAGAGGGATATAGAGCAATAGATCATTAACAGAAACAAGAGAGGGGTCTGGTTTTTTCAGGATAAGGAAAACCTAAATGTATTTGGTTTGCCAATCAAGAAAATTAATGTGTTGATTAGCCAATAGAGAAGGAAGATAAAAGGTTAGTGGAAGGATCAGGTTCTTTGAAGATAAATGTGAGAGAACAATAGAATTGCAAATAAAGGACACAAATGGTGATTCGCCTTGGAAAGGAGTCAGGACACCTCTTCCCTGGGGAAAGAAGGGAACGAGAGGATGACTGAAAATAGCCTCAGTCAAATATGTGGGGTCATCTCATAAGACTGAGTACGTACAGAAGTGTGACTAGTCCTCTCCTGAAATTTGGAATGCCTGTTGTAGAAATGCAATAAGGGTAAGGCAATGACAAGGCGGTGATATAATTTATGGTGTGAGCACACTTTTGGGGATGAAAGGGTGGCTAACAGATGGAATGCCTCACAACAGTTGTCAACCTGGACTCGCAAATCCAAACACATGGCCACACTAGATAGGAACCACCACCCCAAGGAAGAAGCAGCTATTTGAGAGCATGAATGTGTAAGGGATCCATTCAGCCACTGTGGCCTCCTCTAGCAATGTTCCCAGTACATGGTCAGAATTAAAGAGAATGCTGGTTTCTCGAGTTGAGAGGAAAAATGAGGAAGAAATAGCAGAGTCATAAAAATCATGAAAATGAAGGCTCCCTGGTGATCACTGACATCTTTGGAGTGGCAGGCAGCAGTCTGCTACACTCTCCAATAGAATTGTGTGCAGGGATGGAAATGTTTTCTGTCTGCCCTGTCCAAATGGTAGCCCTTAGCACATGTGGCTGTTGAGCAACTGAATTATTCATTTCAAATAATTTCAGTTAAAATTCAAATAGCCACGGGTAGCTACCATATTAGAAAGTGCTGGTTCAGACTGAGCCAAGCAGAGTAAAGCCAGCAGGGAGATTAATGGACTGTAAGCACAACGTGACTGGAACTGGAGGTCATTATGTTAACTGAAGTAAGCCAGGCACAGAAAGGCACATACAACATGTTCTCAGTCATATCTGGGAGCCAAAAATTTTGATCTTATGGGCATAGAGAATAGAATGATAGAAGCCAGAAACTGGAAAAGGTAGTGGGGAGGTGGGGGAAGAAAAGAAATTGATTAATGGGTACAAATATATGGTTTGATAGAACAAATAAGACCTAGTGTTTGATACATCAGCAGGGTGACTATAGTTTACAATAACCTATTATACATTTCCAAGCAGTTAGAAAAGAGTTATTTGAATGTTTCTAGCGTGATGAAAAGACAAGTATTTAAGCTGATTGACATCCCAAGTACACTAATTTGATCTTTACAAATTACATGAGTGTATTATCACATGTATTCCAAAATTATGCACTTCTTTAATGCATCAATTTTTAAAATAATTTTTAAGTGCAAAATATTGAAAAAGCTAGATGGGAGTTTATTGGGCAAATTTAAGAGTAAGCATAACTGCATTTAGAACAGTACTATGTCATGAGGAAGTCCCAAGTATGGCAGTGCCAGTGAACAACCAAAGAAAAGAGTTGATGGGACTGAGGATACTGAGGAACCAAGAAGTCAGAAGATGGGCTGTCCGTGTGTGTGTGTGTGTGTGTGTGTGTGTGTGTGTACGCTCACACACCCACAGAGAGTTAGCTGGGTGTGGGGTACATTACATAATGGTAGCCTTGAGGAAAGGTAAGCAGGTACTGGAGAACACAAGATAAAAACCATAGGATGGGCCGGGCATAGTGGCTCAGGCCTGTAATCGCAGCACTTTGGGAGGCTGAGGCAGGTGGATCACAAGGTCAAGAGTTCAAGACCAGCCTGGCCAACATGGTGAAACCCCATCTCTACTAAAAATACAAAAATGAGTGGGGCGTGGTGGTGGCCACCTGTAATCCAGCTGCTTACGAAGCTGAGGCAGGAGAAATGCTTGAACCCAGGAGGCAGAGGTTGCAGTGAGCCAAGATCGTGCCACTGCACTCCAGCTTGGGCAACAGAGCAAGACTCCATCTCAACAACTAAAAAATAGGATGAGGAGAAGAGATGAGAGAATGACTGAGATTTCATAAAGCAGATTATTTTGTTGTTTTTTAAGATACTGTTTTCTGGAGGAGTCCGTATGGATCAAGGAGAATATAGATTTATCTTCTGGCACTGGTCATTAGGGAAGGCAAAGGGAAAAATTAAATTTGTTTCCTCTTGACAAAGGATAGTAGTAGTGGGGTTTTTTTTTATGTCTATAATATTCAATGTGGTAGGTTATTCATGAACAATGTTTTCACACTGAATTGAGCAGTAAATTGGCTAAATATCAATTAAATAATTTTATTTTACAGATCTGCTTTAACATTGGAAGTGGACTTCACTTACAGGTGAGGAAACAAGGGGATTGTTTTCTGCCTTTTGACTCGGGAGACTTAATTCCGTGGCAAACAGGTTGGCTGGGCTTTACTAGATTAAAAACACACATTGTATTGGACCCAGCCATTTTCATTCAAACAATTGCAGAGGAGCTTACCCAGGGGTGATCAGTGCAGCAGCTTTTAACAATGTAAATATCCACCAATAGGTGAATGTTAAAACCATTTATGGTACATGGAAGAATGTTCATGACGAGGTGCTGAATGAAAATCAGTGGGCAAAATAAGATATATAGTATAAGTCCATTTTATAGCAAAAAGACCTTTATATATCTATGTATATATGTGTAACTATAGTTATGAAAAATCATAAAAGATATTTATCAAGCTGTTAACAATGAATACCTTTTGAAGTATAAGTGAAAAAGCCACTTCAATTTTTTGTCATAGAAAATTTTGTTCAAGGAAAAAAAAATCAATGACCTAGTGATAACCAGTGTAAATATTTTGAAGTAAAATACCTATTACATAGATCAACAAAATGAGTAAAATGACAAAACAAACCTAATATAAGGATTATTTCTGATCTTAGGATTTCAGGTCAGCTATATTGAAATTTTTCCTGAATAAAATATGTATTTACCTATAAAACCCAACTGAAAATTTACAAAACAGTTTTTTCTACCTAAGGTTCTGAAAATGAAATGGGAAATTTAATTCTTCACTCAATCCTGAAAACAACAAATTTATTAAATGGCAGTTTCCCTAGTTTTAGTCAAATTTATATCAATAGATTACTAAGATTTAGTCTTTAAAAAATTTAGTAATTTATTTTTAAATCACAAACCACCACAGAAAAATGAGACTTTATTTTCAGTTAATAAGAAAAAACGTTTTTGACATGATCGGTTTTTTTTTTACTTTGCCAATTGGTAAAGCTACCAAATGATTCTTTAAACTTTTCAAACTCTCACTCTGGGAAATCATTTCTTACAGTTAAAAACAAAATTCTACTGGCTAGGAACAGTGACTCAGACTTGTAATCCCAACACTTTGGGAGACTGAGGCAGGTAGATTGGTTGAGGCTTGAGTCTAAGTTCGAGACCAGCCTAGGCAACATGCTGAAACCCTGTCTCTACTAAAAATACAAAAATTAGCCAGGTGTGGTGGTGCACACCTGTGATACCAGCTTCTTGAGAGGCTTAGGCAGGAGGATGGCTTAAGCTGTGGAAGTCAAGGCTATCATGAGCCAAGATCGTGCCACTGCGCTCTAGCCTAGGTAACAAAGCGAGACCCTGTCTCAAAATAAAAAATAAAAATTAAAAAAACCCTACTGCTTTACCCACTTGGAGACAATCTCTTGGGAGCCTATGCAGTTTGCTGGAATACATATATATTTCATTTTAGAAAATGAACCCTCATAGGAAATATAAAGCATACCTTAAAATTTGTACTATTTAAAAGTTTAACATGTTATAAGACACCATACTACTGTTCTAAGTTTATGACACATAATACATTGTTGGCAATATTCTATTGTTGTAGGTCTTAAACACAAGAAATGGAAATAATCTGCTTCCTAAACATCCTCATTTAGTGCGACAAAAGCGTGCCTGGATCACCGCCCCCGTGGCTCTTCGGGAGGGAGAGGACCTGTCCAAAAAGAATCCAATTGCCAAGGTACCTCCTAAAGAGGAGCATGAAATACATACATATGACAAAAATGTGGTACGAGAGGACTTTTATGTCTGCTTTAAGGAAAATTACATAATGTGCTTTCTGAATTTTTAAATATTCAGGATACATCTGAAAATTAGCAGAGCTTACTTTTCAGCATAAAGCATCAACTTTAAGATTCTCTTTCCCATTCTGGAAGATGCAAAATCTTGCATTGACAAAAATATAGATAACTTTGAGTTTTGATTTAACCAAGAGTAAAGGGATCTGGCACTGGTAACATGGAGTGTTCAGTGTTCAAAAGACGTCATAAAATGTCATTTTCAAGATGAACTGGTGTCTCTACGAGGTAGGGTGACCATCTTCGTTTGCCTGAGACAGTCATGCTTTATGCCTGTTGTCCTGGCTTATGATATCTATGTTTTCACTCTCAAAGGGTCGAATTTATTGATAAATTATGTGAAAATGTTGCTACTCTGTATTTCAATGACATGTACAAACATGAACCCTTCATTTTTTTTTTACCCCTAAAGCTTTCCTTTATAAATTCTACCCATTTTGGTAAGTGATGCTATAATTCTATCAATTTTTCAAGCCAAAAATGTAGCACATTCTATCAGTGCGATTCCAGAAATGTATTTTAAATCTTCTCTTCAACTCCACTGCCATTCCCCTAGCCCAAGTCATGGCATCTCTGGCCTGTATTACCAAAGAACTTCAGAAGGAAATTGTCCATAAAAATATTTACCTGTAAATTACAGAGAATCACTTATCAGGCTTTTGGCTAAGATCAAATCTAGTAAATTACGGAGAGTTCAACCTGAAACATTCCTGTTATTTTTCTGTTAGATACACTCTGATCTTGCAGAAGAAGGAGGACTAAAAATTACCTACAAATACACCGGAAAAGGGATTACAGAGCCACCTTTTGGTATATTTGTCTTTAATAAAGACACTGGAGAGCTGAATGTTACCAGCATTCTTGATCGAGAAGAAACACCATTTTTTCTGGTAAGAAGAATAATTTTACATTTATTAGTTTGTAGCTTTTCTTTTGTAATAAGTAGCATATGCTTTATTTTTTTCATAGTATGGTAATTCCATTTTCTTAGCTTGAATCTAATCTTATTTATTATTTGTGTCATAATTTCAGCTAACAGGTTACGCTTTAAATGAAAGAGGAGTCAATATAGAGAAACCCTTAGAGCTACGCATTAAGGTTCTTGATGTCAATGACAACGAACCAGTGTTCACACAGGATGTCTTCTTTGGGTCTGTTGAAGAGTTAAGTGTGGCAAGTAAGTGGGTTTTTTTTTTTTTTTAAATGAATAAATACCTAAGATTACTTTATTCCCACTGTAAATAAACACTAAATTTCATATCTTAGTGAAAGTTGAGTATTACCTACAGAACAAATTGTAAGAAACCTTTCACTCTAGGTTCAGAACTGCTTTCCTTATAAGTTTAGTGGACTTTACATGCCATCGTTTTTATCCTCAGTACAGATATGGTATATTAATATGACAGATAAGGTCTCTGTAGCAACTACTCAACTCTGCTCTCTGCAGGAAAGCCCCATAGACAATATGTAAACAAAAGAGCCTAGCTGTGTTCCAATAAAAGTTTATTTACAAAGACAGGTGGCTGGTGAGCTTTGGCCCTACAGTTTTGGCTATAGTTTGCTGACCTGTAACTTATGTTATTTTTACTCTAAGGTTTATTGACAACATTGTTCACACAGTGCTCTTCATGAGGACTCGAATGAGAGATTTCTTTTTGATTCTGATATCAAAACTAGTTGGCCGGGTGCAGTGGCTCATATCTGTAATCCCAGCACTTTGGGAGGTCAGGAGTTCAAGACCATCCTGACCAATATGGTGAAACCCCATCTCTACTAAAAATACAGAAATTAGCCGGATGGGGTGGCAGGTGCCTGTAATCCCAGCTACTCAGGAGGCTGAGGCAGGAGAATCTCTAGAACCCGGGAGGCAGAGGTTGCCGTAAGCTGAGATCGCACCATTGCAGTCCAGCCTGGGTAACAGAGCAAGACTCCGCCTCAAAAAAAGAAAAAAAAAAAAGAATAGTTATGCTTCTGATTTGTTTGTGTCTTAATAAATATCAGGAGCATGTACCTGCTCATGTTACTTTCTTTGTATTGGCTACTACTACTATTATAAACAAATCTGTCATCTTACATAGGAATTTTTCAGGACTCCACTCTCAACCTTGCCTTCATCCTGTTTTTCCTGCTGTTATATTCCATTCATGCTTATGTCCTCATCAGTTGAATGTTATATTGTGGTCATCTGTATGTGATTTTTAATAAGCACCCGAAATCTTTTTTGGAACAAGGTAAAATTATAAATAAAATAACAACAGGTAAGTGTGCTTAAAGTTGAGTTTCATCTTGGACATCTTTATTTCTAATGCCAGACACACTTGTGATGAAAATCAACGCAACAGATGCAGATGAGCCCAATACCCTGAATTCTAAAATTTCCTATAGAATTGTATCTGTGGAGCCTGCTTATCCTCCAGTGTTCCACCTAAATAAAGATACAGGAGAGATTTATACGACCAGTGTTACCTTGGACAGAGAGGTAAATTAATATTTTATGTTGCTCATCTTTAAACACCCTTTCTTTTCCAGTTTCTCCTCTCTTTTTCTTTTCCAGTTTTCTTATTTTGTTCTGTATTCCTTGTCCATAGGATAACTCTTGCAATTACTCTCTTTTAGGGATGTGCTGTCCAATATGGGCCATTAGCCATATGTGACTATTGCACGCTTAAAACGTGACTGGCCCAAATTGTAATGTGCCACATGCATATTGAGTTTGTAATATATGCACCAGATTTGAAAAACTTAGTATTAAAAAAAAATGCAAAATATGACTTTAATTTTTTTGTGATCATTGCATGTTAAAATAATGTTTGGATATCATGGATTAAATAAAATATACTTGTTTAAAATTGTTATCACATTTCTTTTTAAAATGTGGCTACTAGAAGATTTAAAATTACATAAAGACAGCACCATGCTAGGACCTATCCTATCAGGATACTGTTTACTAAACATTCCTAAAACATTTCTCAGTTTGCAGTTCTCTAGTGAAACATCAGGAGTCTCTCCACTGCTAGTACACAGGAGGCGGTGAGGGAAAGGGTGACAACAGGAATCCTAGTTAGAGAATAAAAGTATTTGTAATGGAGAGAATTAACCTAAATCCCAAATTGAAGGAAAATTTGAGTAGGTTTTCTAGGAAGGGCATTTTTTGAACATTTCACTTTATTATTTCTAACTCAAAGGGAATTTTTTTTTTTTTTTTTTTTTTTTTTTTTTTTTTGAGACGGAGTCTCACTCTGTTGCCCAGGCTGGAATGCAGTGGCATGATCTTGGCTCACTGCAACCTCCACCTCCTGGGGTTCAAAAAATTCTCTACCTCAGCCTCCCAAGTATCTGAGATTACAAGGCGCATGCCACCACGCCTAGCTAATTTTTGTATTTTTCATAGAGACGGGGTTTCACCATCATGGCCAGGCTGGTCTTGAACTCCTGACCTCATGATCCACCCTCCTTAGCCTCCCAAAGTGCTGAGATTACAGGTGTGAGCCACTGTGCCCAGCTTCAAAAGGAAATTTTTAAATAAAAAGGGGTTATAGAAGATTTTTTCAATGCTATATGCATAAAGGTTTTAACAGCGTAAAAGAGTAAAATGGTATTGATCCTAAAGTACACTCTTTGTCACCAAATAGAAATCATCCATGTGCATTATGTTCAGTATTTCTTAGAAAAATGATTTAATTCTGCCCAAATTGGAAGGATTGTGCGCAACATGCTTAATGGGATGTTTATAAAATTAAAGAATATGATTACACCTAAAATTCTACTCTACACCTTTTCACATAGAATTAGAATGGAAAGGTGCTACTTTGCATCAGTAGTGTGATATTTAACAAACTGTTCTTGCTTTTTTTAAAAAAAAAATATGGAATGCTTCACGAATTTGTGTGTCATCCTTGCGCCGGGGCCATGCTAATCTTCTCTGTATCGTTCCCATTTTAGTATATGTGCTACCGAAGCGAGCACCAAACTGCTGTTTCTAAAGGACAGAAACTTCCGCCAATAATAATGGCTGTTAACTTACTGGTTATTTACCCTCTGCCAGGTGCTGTTCTGAGCCTTTTGATGGATTAACCCATTTAATCCACATAGAAACCCTATGAAGCAGATTCACTTGATACCCTATCTTACTCAGAAAGAACCCGAAGGTCAAAGGGATTAAGTGCATGCCCAACACAGCCAGTAAGTGATGAGGCCAGAATTGGAACCCAGGTGGCTGACTCCAGGGTCCCGGTGTCCTGTGCACTGAATGGTTCTGCCCTACACAGGACCCAAGGCACTGACACTACCTGCCCTCCTCAAGCTCCAGCCACGCTGAACAGAACCATAGTAAGGGGACCTCATGAAAGAGAAGAAGTGACGTCTGAGAAGCTGTTCTCTAGGACACATACTATACGAACCAAGTCTTGGCCAGGCACAGTGGCTCACACCTGTGATCCCAGCACTTTGGGAGACCCAGGCAGGAGGATCACGAGGTCAGGAGTGTGAGTCCAGCCTGACCAACATGGGAAACCCCATCTCTACAAAAAATACAAAAATTAGCTGGGCGTGATGGTGCCCATCTAATGGGACGTATAATCCCTGCTACTCAGGAGGCTGAGGCATGAGAATTGCTTGAACTCAGTAGGCAGAGGTTGCAGTGAGCTGAGATCGAGCCACTGTGCTCCAGCCTGGGCAGCAGAGCCAGACTCTGTCTCAAAATAAATAAATAAATAAATAGAATCAAATCTCTGGGGAATTCTGGACAAAGTTCATTCCATTTTGCCTTCACTAGCTAAGTTTATTTAGGAGCAGATTTTCCTAGCTGAGGATGAAGTGTAGGACAGAAAGACCCAATTCCGACAGTTCCCCCTCACTTTCGGCAGAGAATAAACTACATTTTGAACAGTGGCTCCTTTGTGCAGACTGTCTCCTCGTAATATCACCAATGACATATTTAAGAATTTGACTGTCTACAGCTCCTGAGACTTTTCTGTTCTTCTACAAAAGTTCTGACTGCAAGTAAATAGTATCTTCACACAAATAATAACAGATCCCAATTTGTAAATAAAATACACTGCGGTCCATGATAAACTGGACTAAAACCAGAAAGCCAGATTTGAGAGTGACTGTTTTTATCCTAGCTGGACATTTTTCATTGCTCTACAGGAACACAGCAGCTACACCTTGACAGTAGAAGCAAGAGATGGCAACGGACAAGTCACAGACAAACCTGTGAAACAAGCTCAAGTTCAGATTCGTATTTTGGATGTCAATGACAATATACCTGTAGTGGAAAATAAGATGGTAACTATTATTCTTACAGTAACTATACCTATTCATATTTTAGTCCTAACTAAAAATATTTCACTTATATTTTTATTTCATTGAAATAAAAATCATGTGTTCATGTTTTGCAGCTTGAAGGGATGGTTGAAGAAAATCAAGTCAATGTAGAAGTTATACGCATAAAAGTGTTTGATGCAGATGAAATAGGTTCTGACAATTGGTTAGCAAATTTTACATTTGCATCAGGAAATGAAGGAGGTTATTTCCACATAGAAACAGATGCTCAAACTAATGAAGGAATTGTGACCCTTATTAAGGTAAGTACTAAGTATTCAAAACTGGCATGGGCCAAGTTGGTGCTGGAGAGGAATCTAATATATATTGAGCCCTGAACACTTAGAAGTGCTTTACATGCTCAATTAACTAGCACTACAATTGTTTGAGAAAGGGGCCTTCCCTATTTGCCCAAGTTCTGCAGTTAGGAAGTGGTCACACTGTGGTTCAAATTCAGATAAGGGGACTCTAATCCTAGCCAGACAGCATGGTACTAGCATCATTACTGCTCAGCACATTTCCAGACTTTCTTGGAGCTCATGCCTGGTAATCACACTCTCATATTACGGCCTCTTGCCTCTATCGAGTGTCCCCTCAGTTACTACCTCTTATTTTATCTACTTAACAGTAAAGCCAGGCCCTTACTTTGAGAAGCCAAGGCAGGCAGATCGCTTGAGTCCAGGAGTTCAAGACCAGCCTGAGCAGCATGGAAAATCCCCACTTCTACCAAAAAAAAAAAAAAAAAAAAAAATACAAAAATTAGCTGGGTATGGTGGCACATGCCTGTAGTCCCAGCTAAACTCAGGAGGCTTATTAAGTGGGAAGATAGCTTGACCCCAGGAGGTGAAGGCTGCAGTGAGCCATGATCACACCACTGCACTCCAGCCTGGGCAACAGAGTGAGACCCTGTCTCAAAACAACAACAAAAAAAAACCAAAGACTGAAACAAAACCAGTAAATCCAGACCTCACTAATAACATCTAAAAGTAAAAGCTATGATAACTTGATAGTTAAGTATGCCTAAGAATCACCTCATAATATACAGTATGCCAAAAATGCAGGTTCCTAGTCTCATCTTCAAAAAGTTTCACTGGGCAGGTCTCAGGAACTTGTCTTTTTAACAAAAATCCACTTGTGATTCTAATATAAGCAGTATGAGGCTTATATTTAGAAGTATACTAAGTTCTTGTGCTTAATTAAATCAGTGAAGGAAAAATTGAACTAAATAGGGATATTAAGCAGTTATATCATACACATTTGGAGCTCGTAACTCTCACGGAACTTTTTAAACAAAAATTACAGGACGGATTTGTATGTAACAAAATTGGTAAGGAGTAATATCAATGTATTTTAAGTGTCTTATGTTAGAATTGCCTTAGGAGGTTTTAAAATAAAATGCAAAGCTATAGCTTTCAAAATGCTATTTCATTAAATTACACACAGGCAAAAATTGATTCCAGAAGTTTCAAAATTCTTAAAAAACATGATATATAGCAGACTGGGCAAAACTGGCAGTGGAAAGAGGAATAATGTAGATATAAATGTACAACAGAATACAGAAGAATTAACTTGAAGTTTTATGATAAGAATTATGAGCACCATTTATTGAGAGCTAGCATATGCATTTCAGCTACCTTTTTCAAAGCAGAGGAAAATTGAATATCGTTACTTCATGTTTAAAGGGAAGACGTCTTGTGATTATTGAAGAAGTGGATCATGCCATTTGAGACAAAATCAGTTTATCTGCTTGTGTAGAGATATAATTTTTAGTCATCAGTTACAGGTACAGCCATGCCAGATACCCGAGATAGGAAAGCCAATTAATTGCACACGTAAGGAGAAACAGTCAGATATTGATGAATGACAGAGGCGCTAGCATAGAATTGTCGTGTGCCACATAAGAACAGTCAGTGATAGACTACATACACACCGATGGCCCCGTAAAATTATAATGGAGCTGAAAAATACACAGAGTAAGGTTGTAAAGAAAGAAAATATTTTTGTATAGCTGTGCAGTGTGTTTGTGTTTTAAGCTAAGAATCATTACAAAAGAGTCAAAAAGTTTAAAAATATTAAAAAGTTATGTAAGGAAATTACGGTAAGCTAAGGCAAATTTATCATTAGGGAAAGAAATTTTTTTTTAATGCAGTATAGCCTTGGTGCAGTATTACAAAGTCTGCAGTAGTGTACAGTAATGTGCTGGGCCTTCGTATCCATTCACCACTCACTCACTCAGAGTAACTTTTAGTCTTGCAGGCACAAATTGTGGTGAGGGCCTACACAGCTGTACCATGTTTTAAATCTTTACTACCATACTTTTACTATACCTGTTCTAAGTTTAAACATGTTTAAATATCCAAATACTTACTATTGTGTTATAATTACCTACAGTATTCAGGACAGAAAGGTGTGATACAGGTTTGTGGCATGGGAGCAATGGGCTCTCCCATATAGTGTAGGTATGTAGTCGGCTTTACCATCGAGGTATGTGTAAGTTCACTGTGTGATGTTTGCACCTCAACAAAATTGCCTGACAATGCATTTCTCATTTCTCAAATCATTCAGCGATGCATGACTGTATTTTTAGTGTACCATGATAGCACAAAAAAAGGTGATATAGTTACTTGTATCAAGAGGGATGTGGATTAAAAAAATAGTAAAATGAGTATTACGATGAAAGCAACCAAGTGAAAAAATTACAAAGTCACTGTCTCAATTACGTAATGAATTGCTTCCAAATTATAAGGGCAGTAATCAGATTCCACTGAAAGGAATTTAGATGAAAAAGATATACAAGTAGCAAATACCCACATGAAAAGGTGCCCAACATCATTAGTCATAAGGGAAAATCAAATTAAAACTATAAGAGATACCACTATACCTTCTAGAATGGCAGAAATCGATGTCTTAGTCTGTTTGGGCTGCTATAACAAAATGCCATAATGTGGGTAGATTATTAGCAACAGAAATTTATTTCTCACAGTTCTAGAGGCTGGAAAGCCCAAGATCAAAGCAGATTGAGTATCTGGGCAGGTCCCACTTTCTGGCTCACACACACAGCGCCTTTTTGTATCGTCATGTAGTGGAACATCCAACAAGCTCCACCAGGCGTCTTTAAAAGAGCATCGATCTCAAGGTCTCCCAAAATCCCCACGCTTAATATCATCACTTTGAGAATCAGGATTTCAGCATATGAATTTTAGGGGAACACAGACATTCAGACAATAGCAATCAAAAAGATTGACAACACCATTGTTTTTCTATATATCGGCAAAAATGGAAACTGGATTGCTGGTGCAATTGTAAAATGATACAGACAGTTTGGCACTTTCTTTTAAAAGTTACACAGGAGTAGTTATCCTGTGATCCAGTGATTCGATTCCTAGGTTTCCACCCAAGAGAAATAAAAACATGTCTATACAAAGACGTGTCTGCAAATGTTCATAGCATTATTCATAATAATAATAATAATAAACCTAAAAGCAGTCCAAATGTCCATCAGCTGGTTGAGTAGATAAATAGAATGTGGTCTATTCACCTGATGGAATACTAATGAGCAATAAAAAGGAATGAAGTATTGATACAAGTTACGACATGGATGAACCTCAAAAACATTATGCTATGGGCAAGGCGTGGTGGTTCACACCTGTAATCCCAGCACTTTGGGAGGCCAAGGTGAGTAGATCAGCTGACCTCAGGAGTTTGAGACCAGCGTGGGCAACATGGTGAAACCCTGTGTCTACTAAAAATACAAAAATTAGCCAGGTAGGGTAGTAGTTGCCTGTAATTCTAGCTGCTTGGGAGGCTGAAACAGGAGAATTGCTTGAACCTGGGAGGCGGAGGTTGCTGTGAGCCAACATCAGTCACATCACTGCATCCCAGCCTGGGAGACAGAGCGAGACTCTGTCAAAAAAAAAAAAAAACACCATTTTGTTCATTATGCTATGTATAAGCAACCAGACACAAAATACTACATATTGTATGATTCCATTTACTTGAAATTTTTAGAAAAGGCAGAACAATGGGGATAGAAAGCAGATTGGGATTGTTTGGAGTGGGGACTGACTACAGACACACATAAAGGAACGTTTGGGGGTGATGGGAGTGTTCTAAAACTGGACCATAGTGATGATTGTATTATTTGTAGGGATGGGAACTCCCTGTGTTGCCCAGGCTGGTCTCAAACTTCTGGGCTTGAGTGATCCACCTGCCTTGGCTTCCCAAAGTGCTGGGATTACAGGCATGAATCACCACGCCTGAACAAAATACATCTATTTTTGCAATGATTTCAACATTTAGAAAAATAAATTGGTAATACTTCCTAAACATCCTTAGCATTTGTGAATATCCAGATTGACAGAATTTTTATTTGCTTGGTGTCAATATAAAAGTTGGAATATTCAGTGCTGCTTTATTTCTCATGTGTTGAATTATTGTATGTAACATTAAAACCACACGTGTGTGTGTGTGTGTGTGTGTGTGTGTCTTCGTCTTCTGTTTTCTCTTTGAAAAGAATTCCCTTTGGTTTTCCCTTTTAGGAAGTAGATTATGAAGAAATCAAGAATCTTGACTTCAGTATTATTGTCACTAATAAAGCAGCTTTTCACAAGTCAATTAGGAGTAAATACAAGCCTACATCCATTCCCATCAAGGTCAAAGTGAAAAATGTGAAAGAAGGCATTCATTTTAAAAGCGACGTCATCACAATTTACGTTAGTGAGAGCATGGAAAGGTCAAGCAAAGGCCAAATAATTGGAAAATTTCAAGCTTTTGATGAGGACACTGGACTACAAGCCAGTGCAAGGTAAGAGAGAGACACATGTATTTCTTTCTTTTAAATTATTTTCAGTGCCTATTTTCAAAAATCATAATGAAATATGAATAATTCATTCCTTCAAATCCAGCATTATAGTTCCCCCAAAGGTCTATAAATTAAATTTTCCAAAGATGTGTCTATACCTGAGAGATGAGGGGGAATTTTCACCAGAATCCACTTTCCTCAACCACCTGTGTGTGAGGGGGAAGCTGCCTCACTCACCTCTGAAACAGTCCTGGCTAGAGACAGCTGAAAGGCAACAACGGAAAAGTTCAAGAAAAAACTTTTTAAAATCTGTCTTATTTTCTAAAAGATTATTAGTGGAGGATAAGAACATAGCAGTTAACATCCACAAGATTTACTTGACACAAGTTACATAGTGTGTTTTAATATAGGGAAGCCAGCTTTACTTATGCATAAATCTTGAGGATGAATCTTCGTTTAAACCTACGTATTTCAGAGGTTAATGAGCTTTTTACACTGTTTATGTTTGTCTTCATCATAGTGACCTTTACTCAGAATACATTTACTGAGAACCTACAAGATACTTGCTGTATTGTAAGAGACTGCTTGTGTCCACTCTGTAGTGGCACCTTACTGTGTGATACTTTTAAATTTTCAAAGTAAATTTACATCTTAGATCTCAGTGCCGTGCTGTGGAAAGACCGTTCTCCACAGAGCTGACATTTATGGAACTCTAATTACTGTTACCGCAGTTGAATTTAAAGAGTCCCCACCTGATATCCCAGACACAACTTTGGTGACCTCCTGCTCAGTGCCAGAGCTGCCTGGTTGCTTGAGTGTCCTTACACACCTGTGTCCCTGTCTTAGTCCATTTGAGCTGCCGTAGCAAAAATACATTAGACTGAGTCATTTATAAACAACAGATTTGTTACTCACAGTTCTGAAGGCTGGGAAGTCCATTAAGGCACCAGCCAATAGATTTGGTGTCTGCTGAGTCTTGCTGTCTGCCTCCAAGATGGTACCATCTTGCTGCATCCTCACATGGTCAAAGGAGCAAGAAAACTCATTGGAGTCTCTTTGTGGTTTTTTGGTTTTTTAAATTATACTTTAAGTTCTGGGGTACATGTGAAGAACATGCAGGTTTGTTACATAGGTATATACATGCCATAGTGGTTTGCTGCACCCTTCAGCCCATCATCTGCATTAGATATTTCTCCCAATGCTCTCTTCCCTAGCCCTCCAGCTCCCTACAGGCCCCAGTGTTTGATGTTCCCCTCCCTGTGTCCGTGTGTTCTCGTTGTTCAGCTCCCACTTGTGAGTGAGAACATACAGTGTTTGCTTTTCTGTTTTTGTGTTAGTTTACTGAGAATTATGTTTTCCAGCTTCATCCGTGTCCCTGCAAAAGACATGCACTCATCCTTTTTTACAGCTGCATAGTATCCCACAATGTATATGCACCACATCTTCTTTATCCAGTCTATCATTGATGGGCATTTGCATTGGTTCCCAGTCTTCGCTGTTGCGAACAGTGCCACAATAAACATACGTGTACATGTGTCTTTATAGTAGAATGATTTATAATCCTTTGGGTATATACCTAGTAATGGGATTGCTGGGTCAAATGGTATTTCTAGTCCTAGATCCTTGTGGAATTGCCATACTATCTCCCACAATGGTTGAACTAATTCACACTACCACCAGCAATGTAAAAGCATTCCTATTTCTCCACATCCTCTCCAGCATCTGTTGTCTCCTGACTTTTTAATGATCACCATTCTAACTGGCATGAGATGGTATCTCAATGTGGTTTTGATTTGCATTTCTCTAATGACCAGTGATAAAGAGCTTTTTTTCATGTTTGTTGGCTGCGTAGATGTCTTCTTTTGAGAAGTATCTGTTCATATCCTTCACCCACTTTTTGATGGAGTGCCTTTTTTAAGAGCACTAATTCTATTCATGAGGGTGTAACCCTCATGACTTAATCGCTTACCAAAGGTCCCTCTTAATATTATCATATTGCGTGTTAGGGTTACAAACATTAAAACGGTAGCAGTCCCTGTGTGCCAGTGCTTCATGAAACATTGTATTTAAGTGCATTGCCAAGTGTAGCAAGAATGAAAATGTGGAAGAAACTCTTCAATGACCCTTTTCCTTTAAGTGAATCTCCTTTCAATTCAATTCCTTAAATAATTTTTTTTCCCCCAAAACAATGTTAACAAACAGCTTCCACTGTGTTTTCTGTGGTGCCTTGGTGACATTCTTTGGCCTTCCCTGCTTCTCTTGAGTTATGTGGTCTAGTTTTAATTTTCTCAGCCCTGTATCTCACAAGACTATATGCCCTAACTGAATTCCCAAAATTGAGGATGAATTTTCTATATGATCATTTCTCACTGCTGTCTACAGAGAAGCTTATATGTTCAAACTAATTATATACCAATAATATGTGGCCACCTACTGAAGCTTCTGTTTCACCAAATTATTTACTTTTGGCTGCTGTTTTTTTTCCAGGAGCTGTGAATATATCAAAAGGTTGTGTGTTCTGCCTGGAAGAATAATGAACCATGGCTCTTTTATTTCTTAGTGTTTTATTGTATTCTTTAGCACACAATTACAGAATTTTAGAAAGAAAAGATCTTAAAGACCAGTTCGAACCCGTTATTTTAGAGATAAGGAATAGACGCACAGCCAAGTTAAATGATTTTCCAAATGTTCACCCAACTAATTAGTGGCTGTTATTTTGAAACATTAATAAGCGGCTGGGCATGGTAGGCTCATGCCTGGAATCTCAGCACTCAAGAATCCAAGGCAGAAGGATCACTTGAGGCCAGGAGTTCGAGACCAACCTGGACAATACAACAAGACCTTGTGTCTCTACAAAAATATATATGTATATATATTTTTTAATTAGCCAGGCATGGTGGCACATGCTTGTAGTCCCCCCTACTGGGGAGGCTGAGGCAGGGGAATTGCTTAAGCTGAGGAACTCAAGGTTCTGGTGAGTTGCAATCACACCACTGCCCTCCAGCCTCCTTGTCGTAATTTACTGTTTTATTGATTATTCATGTGTATCACCTGTTTATTGATATTTTACATAGCATGTAAGCAGCTATGCTACTTGAATGATGTTTAGTTTTGTTTTTGGGGGGTTTTGTTTGCTTTTTTGGACGGAGTCTTGCTCTGTCACCCAGGCTGGAATGCAGTGGAGCAATCTCAGCTCACTGCAACCTCACCTTCCAGGTTCAAGCAATTCTCCTGCTTCAGCCTCCCAAGTAGCCATGATTACAGGTGCCTACCACCATGCCCAGATAATTTTTGTATTTTTAGTAGAGATGGAGTTTCATCATGTTGGTCAGGCTGGTCTTGAACTCCTGACCTCAGGTGATCCACCCGCCTCAGCCTCCCAAAGTGCTGGGATTACAGGTGTGAGCCACCATGCCCAGCCCGCTGCGATCATTTATTTTTAAAGTCGATGTTTGTAAATGTTGCTAACACCCCCAATAAACAATAGAACATAAGACTGCTCTTCTCCACCAGTCCTAATTGTGTGACTAAGTTATTCCCCAAAAGTTTAACCCAAATTTAAGGGAAACTGAATTGAAGGCCATAGGACAGACTGCAGAGCAACTTAAAAACTTGGGTTAGTGGGCCCAGGAGAATCACCCTTAGTTTTATGTCTTGCATGTGTTACAAGAATAAGGAAGGTCCAATTTAAGTGTGGCATGCAGGAAAAAGAGGGGCTTTTAGGATGGTTTTATGAAATTAAAAATATTCAAAACAAATGTCTGTAATAAGAACATATTTAATGAGAAGAAAAGTAAGCCTGAAAGAGCTATAGATGTTAGAGATTGCCAATTCATGCAGAATTCAAAATTAATTTTACGTTTGTTTTATGACAGATATGTAAAATTGGAAGATAGAGATAATTGGATTTCTCTGGATTCTGTAACATCTGAAATTAAACTTGCAAAAATTCCTGATTTTGAATCTAGATATGTCCAAAATGGCACATACACTATAAAGATTTTGGCTATATCAGAAGGTAAGTTATTAAATAGACGTTTTTCTTGGTTATATATATTTAGATTTTTATTTTCCAACATCAGAAACCTTTGTTTTGATCGTGTACAAAAATCTAGTCTCAGCCAAGCAAGCACAGTGGCTTGTATCTGTAATGCCAGCTACTCAGGCATCTGAGGTGGTAGGATCTCTTGAGCCCAGGAGTTTGAGACCAGCCTGGGCAACATAGCAAGATACCATCTTTGATTAGAAAAAGGAGGGGTAGGTAAAATTTAAAAATAGATGTTTAAAAAAATTTTTTAATAAGATGAAAAAAGCACCTAATTTCTCCAGTAGATAAACCTGACATTTCTACTTGGTAAGTCGATTGGAAGATATGACTTGGGCCAAGTTTGAAACGTATCTAGGATAGAAAATGTCCTAAGTGGTTAGTACCTTCTCCACTCGAAATTGGTAAGGGAATTCAAACTATGTCTGTTGTCAGCAATAGGAACAGAATGTACATATTTTTCTCTCTTATTTTTAAGATGATCTTAGAAAAACCGTCACTGGCACCATCCGTATCGCCGTTGAAGACACCAACGACAACTGTCCCACACTGACAGAACCCGTGCAGACAGTGTGTAATGACGCACAGTATGTGAACGTCACTGCAGAGGACCTGGATGGATACCCAAACAGTGGCCCTTTCCGGTTCTCTGTCATTGACAAACCACCTGGAATGGCAGAAAAATGGAAAATAGTACGCCAAGAAAGTAAGCTAAATCACTGGACTACCCTGAAATCCAAATATTAAGCATGCTAGATATCTGAAATATTTGTAAGTTGTATTTCTTCTCATAAATTATGTTTCCAGTATAGTTTTTTAAAGGAGTTTTGAAATGAGGTCCTGAATCTACAGGCATATAGTATCTTTTATATGCTTATGGAGAGAAGAAAAATAATGTAAAATGTCTTAAAGGTAACTGGTATTCTCTAAATAGCTCTTGAAGTAGTTTTGTCTGGTGAGGTGAGGAGTACCAAGCCTTTCTCAGTACCACAATTGTAGTAGGTACCTTCTAAAACTCTTGAAGTATAGTAACAGTAATTCCATTTAAAGCACCATTTATTGAACACTTGCTATATGCCAGGCAAATCTGCTAGCTCATCCTATATATTACCATATTTAATCCTTACTTCTAATATTATTCCCTGATTGAAGCTGAGGATACCTTGATTTAACTGGAGGTAAGTAAAGCTCAAAGCTAGAACATGATAGAAAGAAACAACATGACAACGGGATTATCTGATTCCCCTGACTTCTCCATGCCAGTAGGCATGTCCGTATGTCCATATCCGGGACATCTAGACACTTGGACCATATGATGTGTTGATATGAGTTTTCAGATGTCCTTCAGGGTGGTTTTAAATGCAGAAAAGTCTATCCAAAAAACGATTTTGTTTTAACCAATTAGGGTTCATTTCAGAAAAATTTCAAAGACAATGATTAGGTTTTTTTTTTTAATCTACCGCTTTATTTTGCCGTCTAGCAAATGTTTGAAATCATTTTAAGAGGCTTTGAATAATGGTTAGTCCAATTAACAAATTAAACATCATCAATATTTTAAACTGTATTTACAGATTTAATACATTTAGTTTCCTTTCTTATGTATTTCAGTGATCTGAATTAACAAAGCCTCCCTATGATCCTTATACTCTAAAATTCTAATAAATTTAACTTATAAGTATATCGAGTTGTGTATTCGAGAGTATTATCAATAATAAGTTGAAGTCGGGTGTGGTGGTCCACGTCTGTAATCTTGTAATCCCAGCACTTTGGGAGGCCGAGGCAGGTGGATCACTTGAGGTCAGGGGTTCAAGACCAGCCTGGCCAACATGATGAAACCCCATCTCTACTAAAAATACAAAAGTTTAAAATTAGCGAGCATGGTGAGGGGTGCCTGTTATCACTTGAACCTAGGAGGCAAAGGTTGCAGTGAGCCAAGATGGCGCCACTGCATTCTAGCCTGAGCAACAGAACGAGACTCCATCTCAAATAATAATAATAATGAAGTTTAAGAGTATTAATGTTCCTTGATCTTAGAAGCTGTATGCTGAAGAATGTCATGCTATCTCTAACTTACCTTGAAATAGTTTAAAAACTTTAAAAAAAAAAAAGAAAAGAAAAGAAAGAAAAAGTGAGTACATAGAGGGCAAGAAAGTATTGTTGCAAAAATGTGAACAATTAGTGAAGGGTTTGTTAATATTCACTAAAATGTTCTTTCAACTTTTCTGTAGGTTTGAATTTTTTTCTATTTTGGATATATACAGTATTGACAACAGAAAAAGAAGGGACTAGAGAAAACAAGATCAGCCCATTGTTGAAAACGATTAAAGCTGAGGATGGATAGTGGGGGTTATGCTCTTCTATTACTATGTTTGAAAAATTGCCTTAATAATTTTTTTTTTTTTTTTAAGAAATGGTAAAATAGGCCAGGCACGGTGGCTCATGCCTGTAATCCCAATGCTTTGGGAGGCCAAGGCAGGCAGATCACCTGAGGTCAGGAGTTCGAGAGCAGCCTGACCAACATGGAGACACCTATCTCTACTAAAAATACAAAAATTGGCCCAGTGTGGTGGCACATGCCTGTAATCCCAGCTACTCGGGAGGCTGATGCAGGAGAATCACTTGAACCTGGGAAGCGGAGTTTGCGGTGAGCCGAGATCATGCCATTGCACTCCAGCCTGGGCAACAAAAGTGAAACTTTGTCTAAAACCAACAAACAAACAAAAAAGAAATGGTAAAATAAAGGTCACTGAGTAGAAATGTTATTTAACTCACCACTTGTTTGTCACTGTATTCCCAGTATATAGAACAGTTCCTAGCATTTCCTAGACCCACAGACATTGGTTACAATTAATCATCATGAAAGTAAGGTGTCCAAGTCTGACCCTTTGCATGTTCAGGGCCTATGGACAAATTTTAAGGAGCACACTTCAATGAGAAGTGAAGGAAGAAGAAAGTATCTAATTGGAGCTAAATATAATCAGCAATGAAAGAACATTTCTGAAATTTAATGTTGTCTCATCCTTGGTAATCATTCCTTTTTATTTCCTTCTGCCTCCCAACCTTGTAGGGACCAGTGTGCTGCTGCATCAAAGCGAGAAAAAGCTTGGGAGAAGTGAAATTCAGTTCCTGATTTCAGACAATCAGGGTTTCAGTTGCCCTGAAAAGCAGATCCTTACACTTACGGTTTGTGAGTGTCTTCATGGCAGCGGCTGCGTGGGAGCGCACCGTGACTCCTACGTGGGCCTGGGACCCGCAGCAATTGCGCTCATGATTTTGGCCTTTCTGCTCCTGCTGCGTAAGTCTTTACAAGCCACTCTATAATGCTTTTAGGAATGTGAGTGCACTACTAGAGATGTGTTGCTATGCTAGTCACTGATTTCTTCACAGTTATTCTTCAACCACACCAGACTGCTTTGAGGGTGAACAGGGAAACAACTGATGATTGACAGATCACCAAAGCATAATATAGGACTCTTCAGAATTTGTTTTATAAATGTATATCATTTTCTGATCTCAGTAACTTAGGAATTACTTTTTGGCATAAACTTCGCAGGTATTCCCATTTCAGTGAGCTCTGTGAGGGCAGCATGCTGTCTGTTCTCTTCACTGCTGTATTCCCAGTGCCTGGAACAGAGCCTTGCATGTAGTAAGCATCAGAAAAGATTTGTTGCACGACTTGGAGTTATGGATGCAAGGTTTTTTGCAAACCCAGCTTATTCCAATCGATCCTGCTTTGTATTTCAGAGCTCCGCCTCCCTGAAATCCCCCACTTGGCTCGTTTCTTCACCAGCAAGTAGGCAGACCCTCTGAGCACATCCTGTGCTTCCTGACCCCAAGATGTTCTCAGCCAGTCCTGCCTGCCCTACCCACCCTCCAAAGACCTCAGGTTTCCTTTCATGAAAGAACAAGGGACTGAATCCTGGGGTCATGTGAAATACCACTCTACCTGACCACTGAGCGTGGGCAGAGGGCCACTTCCAAGGCAGCTGAGGCTGGTGCAGTGACAGAGGAGGGGCCTGTTAGACAAGGAGTCCCCAACCCACAGGCCACAGATCAGCATCAGATCATGTCCTGTTAGGAACCAGGACACACAGCAGGAGGTGAGCAGTGGATGAGTGAGTGAAGCTTCATCTGTATTTACAGCCGCTCCCCATTGCTTATGTTACCACTTGAGCTCTGCCCACTGTCAGATCAGTGGCAGCATTCGATTCTTATAGGAACCCAAACTCTACTGGGAACTACACATGCAAGGGATCTAGGTTGCGTGTTCCTTATGAGAATCTAATGCCTGATGATCTGTCACTGTCTCCCATTGTCCTGAGATGGGACCATCTAGCTGCAGGAAAATAAGCTCAGGGCTCCCACCAATTCTACATTATGATGATTTGTATATTTCATTATATATTACAATGTAATAATAATAGAAATAAAGTGTACAATAAACGTAATGCACTTGAATCATTCTGAAACCACCCCACCATACCCCCAACCTCCCTGTGGAAAAGCTGTCTTTCATGAAACCAGTCCCCAGTGTGAAAAAGGTTGGGGACTGCTGTGTTAGGGCTATTGGTAGATGTCCAGTTGAATGCACAGCACTCAACAGTTTGCAGTGTACTTTTATACAGTTATCTCCATGTTATGGCTACGTACACAGATACATGATGGTAAATGACTTGTCTCAGCTTACCAAGTGCGTAGGTAGGTACTGAAGCAGGGACTGAAAGAAGAAAGAAGATCCATCTTTTGCTCATGGATTCCTTGCACTGCTTTCTCATCTCAGATTCCCTGGAGCCTAATGTACTTGGCACATAATAGACACTTGATGAATGTTTGTTAAAATTGTTGAATTGCCACAGGCTGAGTTCAATCTTCTTCTTAATCATAGTAGCTTTAGTTGATGTGCTGTTGACTGTTTTACATAAAAAGGAAATCTAGGCACTAGTCAGTGCAACATTGGAAGCTGCCAAACTGGAGTGGCAGATGGGCATGCAGATGGGCATGCAGATAAGCATGCAGATGGGCCTGCAGATGGGCTTGCAGATGTGTTTTATTCTTTGCCGCATTGATCAAGGGGTCAACCTTGGTCTTTGGGTAAAATAAAATCTAAGGAGAGAGCTCTGAAATTGTTACACATGTCACTTTATTATTTCTAATTATTATTATTATTAGCACATATATTTTGGGGACAGTGATTTTTTTTTAATTGGGCCATAGTTTTAAAAAAGTTCATCTTTAAGCTGATTTTGATGAGATTCCGTCTGACCTAGTTCTGGTGTTCCACTCAACAACCACAGACAGCCTCTTTTTGATGAACAAGGCCTAGAATCTGTACGACTCCCTCATTCTGCCTTCGGGCTTTGGAGTAACTCACCCCAAACAGCTTGGCACAATTGGATCAGGGTTGACAAAAGAAAAATAGGGCTGCAAATAAGTGAAGACAACTCCAGGAAGGGACATGCAAATTCCAATTTAGAAATTGTCAGGATTAACCTTATCTGTGTTCCACTTTGTGTCTGTACAGTGGTACCACTTTTACTGCTGATGTGCCATTGCGGAAAGGGCGCCAAAGGCTTTACCCCCATACCTGGCACCATAGAGATGCTGCATCCTTGGAATAATGAAGGAGCGCCACCTGAAGACAAGGTCAGTGGATCAGTATGACTTGTCTTCTTTTTGGGTTTTAAAGGGGCCTAGGGAAGTGTTTCTTAGATTTTTGGTAGAGTGAGTAAAGTGATCACTATGGATTTCACTCACATGCCTTTGTTAAGCAAAGGGTTCAAATGAAAGGATATTTTGTGTTTGTTGCTGGGGCAGAATTGAGATGGTTTTACTCTGTTGCGACACTTCCAATGCTGTAGAGAATGTAGAGCAAGGTTCAGGAAGAGCAAGTGTGTGTAAGGATCTAAGTCTTTTGTCCCAGCATTAAACAGGCAGTTTTCACAGCCAGGAACTGCTTCATTTCCATTCCCCTCAATGCGCAGGGTTTGCAGAGGTAACCCACAACCCCCATGACAGTTGTAAAATGTTGCAAAGCCCACTTTCCCAACGACTTCATAGCCATATCCCTTTGTCTGTTGCATCTTCACCCTGTACCTCTCATCATCGTCTGTTATGAGCACCATTTCTAATAGGATAGAATTTAGCATCAAGTGGCAAAGAACTCAAAATAACAGTGGCTTAAACGTAAAATGGGCAGTCCAAGTCAACATATTGGTGATTCCTCCACAGTGTGGTCCCTGGTCCCCTCTTCCTTGTTTTTCCTCCATGGTTGAGTTCCATTCCCACGCTGTCCTCATGTGTCAGTGCTAGCTACATAGCTGCCATTCCCACATTCTAACCAGCAAATGGGAGAAAAGTGAAGAATGCTCTTTAAGCACACTTCCCAGAACTTCCATTCTGCTTAATTCACACTGACCACAGCTTAGTCAGGTGGCTATACCTAGTGGCATCAGGGGCTTGGAAATAGTCTTTATTTTGGGTGGCCATGGATCCAGGTAAAAACAAAATTAAAAATTCTATAACTATAGATGAAGGTATCAAACTGCACAGGAAGGTTGAAATGCCACTGGTGCACACAGAGTAAAAGAGCTGAGACCCTATGTGACTTTTGGGGCCTTGTTTCCTCTTTGGGTTATATCCAGCTATAAAACAAGAAGATATAAGAAAGAAGATCTTCATAAGACTTACATAAGTTATTTAACCCAAAAGATTTTTTCTAATTGGCCTCAGTGGAAATAGCTTATACCTTCCAATGCCTACTTGGCTCAGATCCTTCTTCCAAGGATGAAGGAGTCCCCCTCCATCTTCCTGACTCGGTTCTCAGCTGTGTTTCCTCTCACAGGTGGTGCCATCGTTTCTGCCAGTGGATCAAAGGGACAGTCTAGCAGGAAGAAATGGAGTAGGAGGTATGGCCAAGGAAGCTACCATGAAAGAAAGTAGCTCTGGTTCCTTTGCCAAAGGGCAGCGTGAAATGTCTGAGCTGGATGGAAGGTGGGACGAACACAGAAGCCTGCTTTCTGCTAGAGCTACCCAGGTTACAGGGGCCACAGGGGCTATCATAAGCAAGGAAACCATGAAGAACACAAGAGCCACAGGAGCTTCCAGAGATGTGGCTGGAGCTCAGACAGCTGCTGTTGCACTGAACGAAGAATTCTTAAGAAATTATTTCACTGATGTAAGGATTGGTTTTATATATTGGGGGGGTGGGGAACATTTATATGTAAATGTAATATTATTAGGGTAATCATTGCCTTGGATCCAAATGAGACTTTGGGGTTTTTTTTCTTTTTTCAGGGAATACTTACAGGCAATAAGGAAAGAGAAATGGGACCCACTAAATCAGTTGGTGTTAGCCAAATTATGCTGCGGTAACAAGTGAGCCCACGATCTTAGTTCTCACATAGGCATATTTCTCACTTACAGTTATGTTTCTGCCAGTCAGCTCAGCTCTGCTCTGCTTCATGATGTCTTCGTTTCAAGATGCTTTGAGAGAGCAGATCTGACCTGGGAAGCTGCCATCCTTGTGGCCCAGAGAAAAGAGCAAGGCAGAACCAGGCAATGGCTTTTAAAGCCTCCAGCTTTTTATACTCACATTTCATTGACCAAAGCAAGTTACGTGATCAAGACAGATGTCAGTGGGTCAGAAAGTTTTATCCCTGCAGTAGCAGACTTGGTAGGGATGAGCCCTGCAGGAGAGACAGAGAATATATAACCTAAAAAACACAATCTATTAAGTCCATTTAAATTTTACCTTCTGTATGAGAGTACTTGGCTTTGCTATTCTGAGGGTGTACCAAAAAATGATGAGAAAAGCTGCAGGAAGATGATCAGATGCAGTAAGGAAGCTCATGCTAGAATTAGGAATTAGAAGCAGGACTGAAAATAAAAGTATGATGTAGAGGTCAGGCACAGTGGCTCATGCCTATGATCCCAGCACTACGGGAGGCCCAGGCAGGCTGATCGCTTGAGCCCAGAAGTTCAAGACCAGTTTGGGCAATATGGCGAAACCTTCACTCTCCAAAAATACAAAAAATTAGCTGGGCATCCTGGCACACACCTATAGTCACAGCTACTCAGGAGGTTGAGGCAGGAGGATCACTTGAGCCTGGGAAGCCAAGGATGCAGTGAGCTGTGTCAGACCACTGCACTCCAGCCTGGGCAACAGAAACTCTGTCTAAAAATAATAATAATAATAACAGAGATAAGTATACTTCAGAACAAGGATTATTACCAGGAATAATGAGGGATGGTTCATAATGAAAAATGGGCCAATTCATCAGGAGGTCTGAAACTCCTAAATATGTCAGAACCCAATAACAAATTATTAAAACTTAAAGCAAGCCGGGCGCAGTGGCTCAAGCCTATAATCCCAGCACTTTGGGAGGCTGAGGGGGGTGGATCACGAGGTTCAGGAGATCGAGACCATCCTGGTCAACACGGTGAAACCCCGTCTCTACTAAAAATACAAAAAATTAGCTGGGCATGGTGGCGCGTGCCTGTAATCCCAGCTACTCAGGAGGCTGAGGCAGGAGAATTGCCTGAACCCAGGAGGCAGAGGTTGCGATGAGCCGAGATCGTGCCTTTGCACTCCAGCCTGGGTAGCAAGAGCAGAACTCCGTCTCAAAAAAAAAAAAAAAAAAAACTTAAAGCAAAAACAGAACTGATAGAGAAATAGACAAATTCATATAGTTGGAGAGTTCAACCTGTTCTATCAGTAAATGAAAGAACAAGTAGACAGAATCAGTAAGCATATAGAAAACTTAGTATTATCAACCAAATCAATCTCGTTAACATTGAGAGAACACTCCATGCAACAGAAGCAGAATACACATGCTTTTTGATTTAGACTATATTCTAGAACATAAAATAAATGTAAATAACTTTTGAAGAACTGCAGTCATACAGTGTACTTTGATGACAAAAAAAAAAAATAAAACCAGAGATCAGTAACAAAGTAATATATAAAATATACTCAAATATTTATAAATACACATGACTGCAAATTAAATTACACTTTATGAAAATTTGTGGGGCACTACTACAGTGGTGCTTGAAGGGAAATTGTCACAAAAATGGTTATATTAGAAGATAGGTCTCATATCAGTGACCTAAGCTTCAACCCTCAAAAGCTGGAAGAGCAAATTAAACTCAAAACAAGCAGAAATAAGGTAATAATGAATTTTAGAGCAGAAATCAATGAAATACTTAGCAAAAAGTAATAGAAAAAAAAAAAAAACATTGAAACCACAAACTGATTATTTAAAGAGGTCAATAAAATTGATAAACCTTTTACCAGACTAGGATATTAAAAGAATAAACACAAACTATGGATATCAGAAATCAAATAAAAAACATTACTACAGATCATACAGACATAGTCAGAATAATTAAAAAAAAAAAAAAAAAAAGCAGGACTGGGTGGTTTTCTTGAGAACAAGGCCTTGTGCTCCCATAAGGATGGGCAGAGTTGGAATATACGGCATCTGAAGGGCCCTAGAGAGTAGTAATAGGGGGGCTTCCACTGAGGAAAGCAAGTTGCTTCCATCCCCCGTCTTCTATATTTACAAATTATTAGTGAGCTTTCCCACTTTCTGCTCCTCTCCACCCTCCCTTCTTTCATACCGTCCTTCACCCACCTCCAAGTATAGCTTAACGGGGATGTGGTTGGTGTCAAGGAAGACTACATCTTGGCCTTTCCTGTCTCGCTGCTGAGCTCAGTTCTAGCATCCTATTTGTTTTATTTTTGATAGGTTTTCCCTCTCCACTCGAATCCTGCTCTAGTCATTTTTGGTTATGTATGTATGTGCTAACTTTTGATTTAGAAGTAATTTCAAAGTCATTAGAAAATTTGCAAGAATGGTAGAAATTCTGAACCCAATTATTAACATTTGGCCACATTTGCTACTTGCTTTTCCATTCTCTCTCTCTCTCTGACACACATCCACACTCATTCTTTTACGTCACTATAGTACAGTTAACAAATGTAGAACTTTACCACTGACACAGTGCACATTTCAGTGTAGCCAACTATCACACTGTCTTTTGTTGCAATTTTGTTTTTTCAGAATCTTGCATTCCATTAAGTTGTCCTGACACTTTAGTCTTCTTTAATCTGAAACAGTCCTCTCTGCCTTTCCGTTTTTCCCCTGATATTAATATTTTTTGAGAATACAGGATCTCTCTCAATTTGTGTTTCCCTGTAATCCACTTCACATTACTGCATTTTCAACAGGAATATCGTCTTGTTTTTAAATGAATTTGTATTGCTCATTATTTGTTTTGTGTTTGTTTCATTTTGTTTTCATCTTAGAAAGCGGCCTCTTACACTGAGGAAGATGAAAATCACATAGCCAAAGATTGCCTTCTGGTTTATTCTCAGGAAGAAACCGAATCTCTGAATGCTTCTATTGGCTGTTGCAGTTTTATTGAAGGAGAGCAAGATGACCGCTTCTTAGATGACTTGGGACTTAAATTCAAGACGCTAGCTGAAGTTTGCCTGGGTCAAAAAATAGATATAGATATGGAAATTGAGCAGAGGCAAAAACGTGCCACAGAAACAAGTATGAACACAGCTTCACGTTCACTCTATGAGCAAACCATGGTTAATTCAGAGAATACCTCCTCTGGCAGTAGCTTCCCGGTTCCAAAATCTTTACAAGAAGCAAATGCAGAGAAAGTAACTCAGGAAATAGTCACTGAAAGATCCGTGTCTTCTAGGCAGGCTCAAAAGGTAGCTACACCTCTTCCTGACCCAGTGGCTTCTGGTAATATGATGGCCACAGAAGCTTCCTATGCCACAGGTTCCACTAAGCCACCAAGCACTGTGATCCTGGGTCCTAGACAGCCACAGAGCCTTATTGTGACAGAAAGGGTGTATGCTCCAGCTTCTACCTGGGTAGATCAGCCTTATGCTAATGAAGGTACAGTTGTGGTCACTGAAAGAGTAATACAGCCTCACTGGGGGTGGACCGAATCCTCTGGAAGGCACCCAGCATCTGCAAGATGCACATTACGTCATGGTGAGGGAAAGAGAGAGCTTCCTTGCCCCCAGCTCAGGTGTGCAGCCCACTCTGGCCATGCCTAATTTAGCAGTGGGACAGAATGTGACAGTGACAGAAAGAGTCCTAGCACCTGCTTCCACTCTGCAATCCAGTTATCTGATTCCCACTGAAAACTCTCTGAAGGTTAGGAACACCATGGTGTCTGGAGCTGCAGTCCCTGGCCCCCTGCCAGATTTTGGTTTAGAGGAATCTGGTCATTCTAATTCTACCATAACCACATCTTCCACCAGAGTCACCAAACATAGCACTGTACAGCATTCTTACTCCTAAACAGCAGACAGCCACAAACTGACCCAGAGTTTAATTAGCAGTGACTAATTTCATGTTTCCAATATACCTGATTTTTCATGAGCTTTACAGACTCAGAGACACATACACATTGAGCTTTAGATTTTTCTTAGTTGCTGAGATACAAAGGGCCACACTGCCTCTGCTTCCAGGAGTGTATTTTAGAAATGCCCTATGATTTACTGAGGACATAGAGATGATGCTGCTTCTTAGGTGCCTTTAGTGAGCTATGCAGACAATCCTGACAAAGCAATACAGTCAATCTGGCTTCTGAGAACTTACCAAATTAACAGAGTATGCAGTTCATCCTCCGACCAGTAAAGCAACCCAGGAAATTGAATGGGTCTCTTTGCCTACCATATTAACAGTTAACATTGATGTTCCATATTCTGTACTTTATTGCATGTAGCAGATTTTCAACACCTCATTGATCCAAAGATATATGCACGATCTGGGCACCAGTTTTGATTTTCCTTAAGACTTGAACCCTTTTCATCAGGCGTCCCCAAACTTTTTACACAGGGGGCCAGTTCACTGTCCCTCAGACCGTTGGAGGGCCGCCACATACTGTGCTCCTCTCACTGACCACCAATGAAGGAGGTGCCCCTTCCTGAAGTGTGGCGGGGGCCGGATAAATGGCCTCAGGGGCTGCATGCGGCCCGCGGGTCATAGTTTGGGACACCTGCTTTTCATCTGTGTGTGATTCATTGAATTTTAGAACACTGATGATAACAATACACATTGTTATGTTTTCTGTGCACATGACTGTGTGTGTGTGTGTGTGTGCACATACATACTGTATAGTCTTAAAAATAGCATTATACCTCTTATCTCAACTGCCATGAAAATGTTGAACACTCCAAATTCAGTTGAATAATCCAAAGCAAAATTTTTATACTTTTTACAGTTAAAAAAAACACCTTAGGATAGATTATCTTCTAAACAGCTTCAATTTAGTGCAGCTGCATTAACCAGCCATGTTTTCTAGTTGTGGTAGGAACCATTCACGGCTGGGTTATCCTCAGTGCCTAATGTGGGTGCCAAATAATTGTGGACTTACACTGAATTGTACAAACCATCTTTTTTTGTTTACAATTGCCAAAAATCTCAAAAGGTCCTATATTTCTGTAATTCTGTCTTTGAAATTATGATTTTATTTTGATCTCTCAGTTGTTGACTGGCCGGGTGTGACTTAGTATATTAAGTACTCAATATTACATTATAAAAACCTCAAATAATTGACTTGAGTTTGCACAACATCCTTGCCTTTCTTTTCTGTAAGTTAATTTTTTTACAAATTATTTGGGTTCCTTAGCTCCTAAATAGGTTATATTTTATTGCTCCTAGAAATAATATTTCAAGATATGTGTGCATTATCAGTAATAATTTATATAAATATTTCCCACAACACAATAATTTTCATAATTTTCAAAGACTAATTTCTTAACTGAAGATATTTTGCTAGGGAAGTGACTTTAAAATTTTGCAGACTTTAAAAAAATTGTTGCATGGTGTTACGCAAAGGATTTATACAGTGTGCTCCCACTAACTGTATAGATCAGGGCATGTAGTTTTAGAGATCTGCGTCTATTGCTTAAATGGAGGTTACTCTTCCATGATCTAGAATTGTTTACTCTGTACCTAGTAATTGTTGTTTCTTTTACTATTATTGTAGACTTATTAACAGTTTGATTTTGCCAAGTATGCAACAGGAATATCACTAGTATGTGAAAATGTAAATATCACCTATGTACTCAAAACAAATAAAAGTGGTTCTTAAGCTTCCTCCTTGAACAGCCTCAGAAACCTAACCTACGCTTTGTAGCATAATCACATTTTCTAAATGATTTTCTGTGTTCCTGAAAAAGTGATTTGTATTAGTTTTACATTTGTCTTTTGGGGAGAGATTATATTTGTATGTGTGTCATAAAATATTTAAATAAAAAGACTACCTTTAGAGTGACACTTTCTCTATTATATTTTACAAGGAATAAAGCTCAGTTGTTAGGGAGAGTGCCCTAAAGGCAGGTATTTCTTGGACTTTGTTATTTAATTAGATCTGCTTGAAATTAAAAAAGTTATCGGTTATCTAAAATTCAAATTTATCTGGGTACTCAGCATTTTCATTTTCCAATTCTGGCAACCTTGTTTCTAAGGAATTAAAGATTGCATTCCGCCCAGAGTAACACTGGAGAAATCTGTTGGGCTTGGCTGGAATTTGTTGGTATATCTAAACCAAAGAGAATCAATCTACCAATGTTTGAGAGGCTTAATTGCTTGTCATAGTTTACAAGGGAAAAGATCAGAGTTGCTGCTGTCAGAAGAAAAAAAAATCTTTTTCTTCTAGGTCCCCGGCTGGGGCTCTGTAACAAACACAGATTAGCAAGAAAAAAACAGACATAGTCTATTAACATGTGTATCTCATGCATGCTTTGGCGTAACTGGGATGAGTAGCTCAAAGGGGTGGTTAGATCTTGGGTGTAAAATGTTAAAAGAAGAGCTTTAAACAAACTAAATCTCACGGTCTAATTAGGCAAAGGATGATTCACAAAATTGGGCTGCCCTGGAAGTAGAAACGTTCAGAGAACTCTGTTCTGCAATGTGGGCAGGCAGTATTTATCGACAGAAAATGGAAGTGAGGTCGGGAAACCGCTTGACTGGTTACAGCTGAGCCTTCGCCTTATTCGGAGGTGGGCTGATCAGTTGGCAGCCAGTGACTGGCTGAACTCAGTTGCTGTGATTGATTGACACTCAGCTATGTGTTACAAAAGTACATTCCTAAGTTAGGCTGTCAGTTCATTTATGTACCAGGCTAGGTTGCAGTTGGTCATGTGGGGATTCGAGGTATGAAGGCAGCCTCAGGCCAAAATTTAGTTTAACAATATACCAACTTGGGCTAAAACAAAGGAAAAGGGATTGGGGGCTTTTGGGCAGTAGAAACAATGGAAGGTGACCAGGAAAAGTCTGGTAAGCTTGGGTAAGATTTGTTATACAGATTTCAGTCAATGTCCTTGTCATTTATAGTCATCCCTGTGTCTGGTACAGAGGGAGACAACCTTACAAATAGACATTTCCTTTATAAACGTAAATTCCTTTACAAACGATAAACTTACATTCTGTCTTCAGAGCTTTTCCTGCGTCTGTTGTTTCTCAAAATAACCCTTATACTAAAAAAATATTTTGGGGGGTGTAGCATATTCTAGTCTACACTGCTGGCAAACTGGAATGTCTCATGAATGAAGATTTCACAGCACTGGCGCATCCGGACATCCTAAAGCATGAAGACTGTTTTATTCCTGTGACTTCAGTTCCCGCTCCAATCAGCGAATTCCGGCTGATCGCTACAGAACATATTCCAATCACCACCACATCAAAAAGTCTGCAATAGGACATTGCTAACCAAACGTCACCTAAAAATGAGACATTTCAGATCATTAAATCTGACTCTCTTAACGGACAAAAATTTTTTGGTTTCATTATATGTTTCATTTTAATCTTCTATATCATTCCCAATTACTTTGTCTACTTTTTCTATTAATGACTAAGAGAACGGTGTGGAAGTCTCCCAAGTGTGGCTTTAGCCTATTTCCCCCTTTATTTTTTTCTGTTTTTGCTTCCTGTGTTTTGAAACTTTTTGCCTGTGTTATTAGGTACAAACACATTTAAGATTACTGTGTTCCTGAAGAACTGATCTTTTTATCATTATGAAATGCCTCTTCATCTCTGCTAATCTCTGTTTATAACTGCTAATTACTTATAGCCTAAAGCTGCCTGCCTTTACATTCTTTTTTTTTTTTTTTTTCTTTTTTTAGATGGAATTTTGCTCTTGTTGCCCAGGCTGGAGTGCAATGGCACAGTCTCGGCTCACTACAACCTTTGCCTCCTGGGTTCAAGCGAGTCTCCTGCCTCAGCCTCCCGAGTAGCTGGGATTACAGGCATGTGCCACTATGCCCAGCTAATTTTGTATTTTTAGTCGAGATGGGGGTTTCTCTATGTTGACCAAACTGGTCTTGAACTCCCTACCTCAGGTGATCGTCCACCTCGGCCTCCCAAAGCGCTGGAATTACAGGCACGTGCCACCACACCCGGCCCTCCTTACGAATTTTTAGTTTGACCTGAAGGTTTCTCCATACTTAGTGAACTGTAACCTAACTGGATGTGTAAACATATTATAACCTACTCTTGTCTCAGGCAATCACAGCCACAATACTTCAACCACTCACAGGTGGACAACTGTTCAAACTGCATTCAAATAAGGCGAACCATGAGCTGTAACCAGTCCCGCTATTTCTGTACCTCACTTCCTTTCTCTATCCATAAATCCTCTGCGGCCACGTGGTAGCGCCAGCATGGTTCTGCATCTACTCTGGTTTAGGGGCTGCCCAATCTGTGAATTGTTCTTTGCTCAATTGAAGTTTGTAAAGTATATTTGTTTATTTACCTATTTATTTATTTTTATTTTGCAGTGGTGGGATCTTGTCTCACTGCAACCTCTGCCTCTTGGGCTCAAGTAATTCTCCTGCCCCAGCCTCCCGAGTAGCTAGGATTACAGGCGTGCGCCACCACCCCAGGCTAATTTTTGTATTATTATAATTTTTTTTAGTAGAGATAAGGTTTCCTCATGTTGCCCAGGCTGATCTCGAACTCCTGGCCTCAAGTGATCCACTGCCTCAGCCTCCCAAACTCCTGGGATTACAGGTATGAGCCGCCACACCCAGCCAACTTTGTAAAATTTAATTTGCCTGAAGTTTTTCTTTTAACAAATTCTTTGTCCTGAAATCCACTTCGCCTAGCATTAATAAAGTCTTCTTACGGTTAGTGCTTCTGTGGTATATCTTTTTGATCCTTTTGCTTGCCACCTGTCTGTGCCTTTATAGTACATTTTATAAACAATATACAGGTAGGTCTTGCCTTTTCCCGTTTTGACATTTCTGACTTTTAACGGAAGGTTTTGCAGCAATTATTTATATGGATAAGTTTAAGCTTCCATCTTGCTGTGTGTTTTCTCCTTGTCCATCCGGATTTTCGTTGGTTTTTTTTGTCTTCCTCCACTCTTGCTTCCTGATTCCTTTTGTGTACCGCATGTTTTAGGGTTCCACTGTAGCACCTCTTCTGACCTTCCCCTACACCCACTTGTGTTTACTTTTTAATTGGTTCTCTTGTTGAGGAAATACAACAAGATATCCCGTCAAGCTAAGAAAACTATCCACAAAGTAAAAGGGAAAGAAAGCAGTTTTATTACTGAATAAGCATTAAACCAGGAAGGCGAGGCACATCATAGGTAGCTCCTAAAGAAATTGCAAAGACAGAAAGCTCTTGCTTTTTATATAGCCATTTAGAACACACCTGTTCACAAGATACACTATAGCTTGTCCTCAAGTGAGAGGATTTGACAGAGCCATTTGTCATGCATAGCTCATCTTAAATTCACCTGGTAATTGAGGTGGCTATTGTGTTTGCTAATTGCCTTTATTCAAAGAAATAATAAAACTTCTTAGATCACACTCACAGGTAGCTAGTTAGGATTTGGAGCCAGCACCCATGGAGATGGGAAGATAGGGGTGCTAGCTTCTTTGATGTTAACATTTCAAAGAGATAGCCCCAGGGCCTTCAGAAAGGCATCCCTGCTTATAAAGCTGGCAAAGGAGAAAGAGAAATAATTAGCAACCACAAGTTTTTTAAACTAAATGCTCTAAGAAAAGAGATGAGAGACAGGGAGGGATCCTTTTTTTGCACCAGGGAAAATTGAATTTTTTCCCACTTAGATTTGTACTTACACTCTAGGGCAGGGGTCCCCAAACTACAGCCCGCAGGCCACATTCAGCCCCTGAGGCCATTTATCCGGCCCCCCGCCGCACGTCAGGAAGGAGCACCTCTTTCATTGGCGGTCAGTGAGAGTAGCACAGTATATGGTGGCCCTCCAACGGTCTGAGGGACAGTGAACTGGCCCCCTGTGTAAAAAGTTTGGGGATGCCTGATTTAGATGATAAGAGCCTTTCCCTAAAACTAAACCACCTTATAAAACTAATGAAAGGCCACCAGGTTAGGAGGATGAAAGGGGTTTGTAGTCTGCTAAGGTGTAAGTATAAACAATTCCCATCCATTATTTCAAAAGTCACAAGATTGGCAACTTCTCCAATTACTCCGGCAGATAACATTATTATTATAAAACATAAGATTGGCCTTTTGAGATGTCCTTTCGGGCTTTCGCATTTTTGATGACTGGATACCCGTGACTCTTGGCTCAGCTGCTCCTGTGGCCCCAATCCTGTAGCAGACTTGGCGCACTAGGACCATTTTCCACACCCTTGTGATCATGTCTCCAACCAATTAGTAGCACCCATTCCCAAATATCCTTGAAAAACTCTCGCCTCCAAATTTTCAGGGATATTGATTTGACAACAGCCTCCCATGTGATATGGCTGGTCCATGTCAATTAAACTCTTTATTGTAATGTCATGGTCTCCGTAAATTGGCTTTGTCTGTGCAGTGTCAGGAAGAACGCATTGGGTGATTACAATGGTTCTGGAAATTACAACATGCATCTTTAATTTGTCACAGTCAACCTTCAAATGTTCTACTACTTCACAATGATATACATGAACCTTGAGCTTTCACTTGGTGGATCTGGCTATGCCATTCAATCTCTGACTTTCTTTCTACCCACTTCCTAATCAAGAAGCTATCAGCATTGTCTCTGTCCCCCACACCTTCCATCATACCCCCACCCCACTTGCTATAATGCATTATTGGCATGATATGAAACATACAGTGTCAAGTCCATCCTTGAATGGGAATGGACTCACATTGCTCCACAGATTACAAAAACTCACCCATCCAGATTGAAAAAATGTGACGAGGAACGTGTGTCTCTGCTAAAAATCTAGATGTGCCCTGGGCCGGATATTTTCCATTTGCCTCTTCATACTCACTCTTTGCCCTTCTTCGCCCTGCTCTGAGACCCAGGAGCTTACCTTTTACGGATGTTTCAACGGGCACTGCTTGCTGCCTCTGGCTTCTAGATGGGCTTGGCCAGTGATGACCTTGGCTAGAGATTGGTGAGAAAGAGAAAAATGAGGTCAGGGCATCTCTTCCCCCGGCTCCCTCTGTCATGCGTCTCTCTGTTAGAGCAGCTCCCTCTCTGAGTTCCCGAACCCATATCTCTCCTCGTTCCTTAAGGCCTATTAGTAGTGGTTGCCTCCTCCTCAATTATTATCAGACTTGAAACTGTCCCCCAGGGTTAACAAGGATTGCATGCTGAGTTCTGGACAGAAATATATTTGTAATTAAGCATTAATCAGGCTACACTTCGGCCCACTTCCTTGTCGCTAAAAGTCAGGTAGCACCAGGTACTGACCATTTGCATTCCCATTGTTCCTATAGATCGGATCTCTGAAATTAGGGTCCTAAGACGGTTGAAGAATTCATTTGCATCCCCCATAGTTCATAGTGTCAGTAGGTATTGAGATAATCGAAGGCAGGTATGTGCCTTTTTGATGTTTGTCATCTCGTACTTACTCCAGTATCAATCAATAAAAGAAATTGTTGGTGATTGAATGAATAGATGGCCAGTCATAGGAAGAATGGTGAACCGAGGTGGGAGGAATTTACCTGCCTCAGAGAAGAAGGGTTTTTGGTACCTTCAAGCAGGACAATTGCAAAAATCCAAACAAAATTTTCAGACTGGTTTTCTAAACCTGTGCATGATTCATTTAACGGGCAATATTTAATCTGCTGCATCCCAAGCCCAAGTGAGTTCTCACTGTTAAGTCTGAATCAATGGATTCTCAGTGGGTTTGAGGGATTCTGAGGAAAACTACAGAGGTTTTAGTGCAGGACATGATCCATTTGCAATGGTTCAAAATCCCTTTTAGTTCGTATATTCTGGTTACTCAGATTGTTGGAGATTTTACTCACTGTGCTAAAGATCTGTTTTATTCTTCTTTCTTTTTAGCCGAGGCTAGACCTTAAATCGTACCCTAGATGTTCCCCTGCCCATCATCAACTGCTTTCAGCTTCTTCTAGCAGGAAGTTTGGTTTTGCAAAGCCCTCTTGGGTTGTACCCTTCTAAAGTAATCTCGAGTTTGTCATTCTCAGCCTCTCCAAGGACCCCATCTATTATTTCCCTAGTTTACATGGGTTCTTTTTCAAAGAAAAACACTGGGTTGGGGTACTTCAATGAAAGAAGTCGGAAACACACGGAATACAAGCATCTTAAATGCTTCTAGATATACCCCACCTAGATGGAACCAGATTGAGTTGGCTTAGCAGTAAATTACGTATGTGCTCACCTAGTAATAATCTGCAAGTTTCTACATTTGGAAATCCTCTGGACTACAGAAATCAAATGGAACAGCAGAAGCGCTGTGGCGTAACTATGAGTGTTATATGCTTTCTGGCCACAAGATGGCACTATGCATGCAGTAAAAGAGGCAAAGTCAATCTATCAAAGCCAGAAGGAAAAAAAATTAAGCCATTTCCTAAGTTCTTCAGCAACGCAAATTGCAAAGTCCAATACCTCCCTTCACTAACTGTGACCCTCTTAGATAAAGTGTGATATGCTTCAGAGCGGCCTGAGAAACGAGACCTGGATTACAGAAGTCTAATAAAACCTGTACCACTCTGATGGTGATATAGAAAACGTCTTTCTGAAGGTCAGTCATGAGCCTCTGGTTCTATCAAAAATGCTGCACTTCGGAGGAAATGACGCTGGCCAATGGATTCACAAATAACACAGTCAGCCTGGTGTGGACTATCTTAAGAATAGATGTTGACTCTTTCTGAAAAAATTAGATTCAACAAAGCATATGTTGAATTCTCATTATGTGCAGAGCCCTGTTTAGCAGCTTTAAAATTGTTCAAAGATGTGTAAGACCCAGCCCTTGCCCTCCAGAGGCTCACAATATAGTGAAAGAAGTAGTTACAAATAGCTTATTATGAAGATCAAGACACTCAAGAAAAAAAAAAAAACCATCAAAGATAGAAAATGCCAAGGCTGATTGGAGAGATTAATTCTTCTTTTGATTAATTTCTTTGTCATTCCCAATTCCTCCAAGTTTAACGGGAAAGGAAATGTCTCGGAGCTCTTGTTAGAGAGGTGGGCTTTTGATGAAAAATGGAAATTGATATAGTTTGGATATGGGTCCCCTCCAAATCTCAGTTGAAATGTGACCTCCACTGATGGACGTAGAGCCTAGCGGGAGGTATTGGCTGATGGGAGTGGATCCCTCATGAATGGATTTGTGCCATCCCCCTGGTGATGGGTCAGTTCTCGCTCAGGCAGTTCACATGAGATCTGGTTGTTTAAAAGAGTGTAGCACCTCTCTCCCCTCTCTCTTTTTCCTGCTCTCATCATGTGATACACTGGCTCCTCCTTCACTTTCTGCCAACAGTTGGAAGCTTCCTGATGCCCTCACCAGAAGCAGATGCCAGCACACCTCTGGTTCGCCTGCAGAACTATGAGCCAATTAAACCTCTTTTCTTTATAAATTACCAGCCACAGGTATTTCTTTATAGTAACGCAAAAGCGAACCAATCCAGAGCCAGTAAACAAGCTAAGGGAGGATCTAGATCCGAAGCTCACCTCACACAGGTGAGGGTGGCTCGGGGTAAGGGATTAGGGCGGTAAGTGCAGCAGAAGGTGTGGGTCAAGAGACGGGTACAGGCCACCCTGTGAAGGACTTGGAACAGCAGCTAAGGCTGTGGGATCAGACTCTTCATGCAGCAGAGAGTCGCAGACAATTATGAGCAGGTCACTTTCTGACCAGGTTTTAGAAAGAATCCTCAGTTGGAAGGAGGAGATTCTGCAGGAAGAGGGTGGGGAGAAGTTAAGATAACTCCAACCAATGTGAACCTTAAATATTAACCTTTTTTTCTTCTTGCATTGACTTTTCCATGCATTTTCAGTACCCTTTTCCTTGCTGTAAAGTAAATTTTAAATATTATGTCAATAGGTCACAGAAGCAACAGACAGGCGAGATATGGTGATGACAAAAATATTTCCCTAAACAAAATTAGAAGACAGCATTTGAGGAAAGATTTTTTTCTTAACTTGGGAGTTTGTTGACAAAAAAATCGCTTTCAAAAATAGTCAATCAAAATAATATGGAGTAATTTACTTAAGGAATTTCTTACGTTTAAAAGCAAAGTACTTGAATATAGAATCAACCTAAGTGTCCATCAGTGAAGGATTGGATTTTTAAAATGTGGCCCATATATACCATGGGATACTATTCAGCCATAAAAAAGAATGAAATCACGTCTTCTGCAGACACATGGATGGAAATGGAGGCCATTAACCTACGTGAAATAACTCAAAAACAGAAAGTCGAATACCGTATGGTATTCATGGAATATAGGTAGAATTTAAACAGTGGGTACACGTGGGCATACAGAGTGGAATAATAGACACTGGGGACTCCAAAAGTTGGGAAGGTAGGAGAAAGTAAGGATTGAAAATTTCCTACTGGATACAGTGTTCACTATCCCGGTGATGGATGCACTAAAAAGCCTAGATGTAACTGCTATGCAATCTACACGTGTGAAAAATCCATGGCCAGGCTTGGTGGTTCATGCCTATAATCCCAGCACTTTAGAAGGCCAAGGCAGGATGATTGCTTGAGCCCAGGAGTTCTAGGCCAGCCTGAGCAACATAGTGAGACCTCGTCTTTACACACACACACACACACAAAAAAAAAAAAATTAGAAATTAGCTGGCTATGGTGGTGTACACCTGGGTTCTCAGCTACCTGGGAGGCTGACGTGGGAAGGAAGATCAGCAGAGCCCAGGAATTTCAAGGCTGCTGTGAGCCATGACTGTGCCACTGTACGCCAGCCTGGATGATAGGAGACTGTTTTTAAAAAAATTAAAATTTAAAAATCCTGCACTTGTATCCCTGAAATATTCAAAAACAAAAACAGAAACTTAAATAATAATAAAATGCATTTCTTTTAAATATCAAATAAATAAAAGCAAAATACTTGAAATTAGACTATTCCAGAAAATTGTTGACATGTTTGTTTCCCTCACAATTTGATACTTTGGTCTCCTTTATGAAACTGTGAAACCTCTGAGCCAAAAGCTTTGTCTTTCTGCATTCTTGTGTCTTTAGTACATATCATAATGCTTCTAGATGACAGGTGTATGACTGTTGTTAACTGAATAGCATACCATACATCAATAGACATTTTCCCCAACATTCTATTGGGAAACTTTTCACACACATAGCAAACTGAAAGAATTTTCAGTGTGCACTTGGATTTCCACCACCAAGATTTCACCATTAGCATTTTACTGTTCTCGGTTTATTATATATCTATCCATGTCTCTGTCCATTCATCAATCCATCTTATTTCTCTTGGTGAATTTCAAATTAAATTACAGCCATAAGTATACATCAGTATACTGAACACATTCACCTTATTTCTCCTGGTGAATTTCAAATTAAATTATAGCCATAAGTATACATCAGTATACTGAACACACACACACACACACACACACACACACACACACACACATATACACACACACACACACACATATATATTATATAATTAACTAGAGTTCAAGATTTATTTGCATTTTTTCTTCTAAGGCAAAATTATATAGCCTGAAACACACCAATTTTAAGTGTACATTTACCAAGTTTTGGAGAATGCACACACCCGTGTAACCCAAACCCCTTCCAAGATGTGAAAATGACCATGACCCCAGAAAATGCCAATGCCTCTTCCTGCTCAGCCCTCGTCTCTATCCCCCAGAGGCAATGACTTTTTATTTAAATTTTTTTTAGTTTTGCCTCTCCTAGAACTTTATATAAATGGAGCCATATAGTGTGTACTCCAGAATAGACTTCTATCACTCAGCATAACTTTTTGAGATTCATCTAGGTTGTATGTACCAGTAATACATTTGTTTTTGTAGAAAAGAAATTATTTTGCAATAGAATGCAATAGCATTCTTTTGTCTAATTATGCCAAAGCTGCTTTTCCATTCTCATTTTGGTGGACACCTAGGCTGTCTCCAGTATTGTGTTATCAAAAATGAAGCTGCTATGAACATTCATGTTCAAGCCTTGATGGCCAAATGTTTTCATTTCTCTGGGGCAAATACTGAAATTGCTGGCTCATAGGGTAAATGTATGTGTAGACATTTTCTATAAGCTTTTTTTTTTTTTTAACAAAATGCCAGGCTATACTTGTCATGCTGTTTCTCTCCTAGTTTGCCAATTTATTTGTTTATTTTCTTGAGACAAGGTCTCGCTCTGTTGCCCAGGCTGGAAGGCAGTGGCACAATCATAGTTCACTGCAGCCTCAATCTCCCAGGCTCAAGTGATTCTCCTGCCTCCACCTCCCGAGTAGCTGGGACCACAGGCACACATCAGCACATCCTGCTTTTTTTTTTTTTTTTTTTTTTTTTTTTTTTTTTTTTTTTTTTTTACTTTTTGTAAAGATGGGATTTGCTGTTGCCAAGTCTGGTCTTGAACTCTTGGGTTCCAATGATCCTCCCACCTTGGCCTCCCAAAGTGCTAGGATTACAGGCGTGAGGCATTGCACCGGGACTAGCTTGCCAATTTAAAAGAAATCTCTAAGAGCACCCAAGGTCCGCTGAATGGCCTTCACCTCACTCGGAATTCTAGAGCCTCAGAGGATCTTTCCATTCCATATGATACACATCCAACCACACGCTCAACCAGCAGCTGACTGGATGAGAGAGAGGTACTGAGCCTAAAAGTAGCCATCTACAGGTTGTCTAGAAACCCAAGAGACAGACTGTTCAGAGATCTACCCACAATGGGATGATGATGAATAATCAATCCAGTTAACTCCCTTCTCTGAGAATTAGAAATGGAGACACTCAGAAGAAACATTTAGTTAAAGGTGGACACAGAAGGAAAAAGACACACAAGCGAAGCATTCTTCAGACTTCTTTAAGAGCAGCTAAATGGCTGGTTAAATTGACATGTGGAAATTCGTGCTTTTCTGAGGAATGAGCTCTGTCACCCAGGAGTTTTTCTTGCAAAAAAGGACAAATAAAATTCCCACATAATCTAGAGCGCTCTAAGGAAGCATAGAAAAATCCACGTTGTTGCTAGTTTTAAGACTTATAGTCTTAAAAATCAGAGAAATTTGTTAAGGATTTATAGTCCTACAAGTTAGAAAAATCTGCCTAACTGATCCACATTGAGAAGCTGAAATGAAACAAAAATAGATCATGATTAAAAAGAATATTCACTCAATATTTATGCTCCCTGCCCTGCCCTACCTGTCATACATACTCCAGTAATATTTGGCCATAAGTAAAAACCAGAGGGTTAGAAAAAGAAATAGGGTAAACTAAGACAAACTATAAAGGAAGTAAAAGGAAGCAGAGGAAAACAAATTCTTCATGTTCCTTTCCCCTTACTCCTGATACAGCTCTGATAACTGGGGTTGAAGAACATCTGCTACCAGATGTATCCTCTGATCATCTAATGACCTGATCCATGGAAAGAGAACCAAATTCTTCAGCCCAGCTTCTAGGATCTTACCTCAGGAGATCATCTCACAATTATGAAAAGATATGTATAAGGATGTTTGTTACCATGTTGTTTGTCATATAAAAATTGTAAACAAGGCCGGGCGCGGTGGCTCAAGCCTGTAATCCCAGCACTTTGGGAGGCCGAGGCGGGTGGATCACGAGGTCAAGAGTTCGAGACCATCCTGGTCGACATGGTGAAACCCCGTCTCTACTAAAAATACAAAAAATCAGCTGGGCATGGTGGCATGTGCCTATAATCCCAGCTACTCAGGAGGCTGAGGCAGGAGAATTGCCTGAACCCAGGAGGCGGAGGTTGCGGTGAGCCGAGATCGCGCCATTGCACTCCAGCCTGGGTAACAAGAGCGAAACTCCGTCTCAAAAAAAAAAAAAAAAAATTGTAAACAGCAGGTTATTGGTAGAGTTCATTCAAAGTCAGCTCTGTGGGTCGAGTGCCAAAGTCAGCTCTTTGGGTTGAGTGCAGTGGCTCACGCCATAATTCCAGCACTTTGAGAAACTGAGGCGGGAGGATCACCTGAGGTCAGGAGTTCAAGACCAGCCTAGCCAACATGGTGAAACCCCATCTCTACTAAAAATACAAAAGTTAGCTGGGTGTAGTGATGGATACCTCTAATCCCAGTTACTGGGGTGGCTGAGGCAGGAGAATTGCTTGAATCTGGGAGGCAGAGGTTGCAGTGAACTGAGATCACACCACT